CCCCCCCCCCCCCACACAGCAGCTGGCCTGAGCTCACCTGAGACCCGCCAGGCCTTTATTTACATCATGGTCATGGTACTAATAACGCTGCAGAGTTTGTGCGTCCAGGGGAGCCCTTGAGGATGTGAAATTCTGGCATTCCTGCACAATTCATCATCTGGTAGGCATGAGTTGAAGTTTTTGTAAATGTTTGTTTGTTTGCATTTTCTTTCTAAAACATATTTCGCAGTTCAGAGGACTTACTGTCCTGCTGCAATTTTAATAGTCAAACGTCCCTATGTTACTGTAATTTAAAGGCGCATTTAGGATTTCCCCCCCCTCCTGTTTTATTCCAATAGAAATTAATGGTAAAATCACATGATCAAATATTTATTTTATCTCAATATATCCCCCAATATTATCTAACGCTTTTGACTTATTCAAATGATCATATCTCACTGAAAATAATGTACTTTAAAATTGTACTAGTAGCCGAGTACATGCTTTTGCATCATCCATGACAACTGTCATGCCAGCCAATACAACATAAACATGACATATTATTCATATGTTATGTTTATGTTGTATTGGCTGGCATTTTCACCATGTTTAGTGAAAATGCCAGCCACCAATTAACAATGTTTAGTTAATTGGTGTGCACCCTTAAAAGAAGTTTCAATTAGGGAGTCTACATGAAGGTTGCAACAGGAAAAACCTAGAAATTGAATGCTATTGTGCCCCTTGAGCAAGACACAAGGGTTGCTTCAGGGTGACAGGCGTATTATAACTAGTCTTTTCCAAGTGCACCTTGTAAAGAACAATTTACTCAACGACACTTCACTCATTTGCCACTAGAGGGCATCGCTGTACAACTACTCGTGATTTATCCTCGTTCTCGGCAGGATTTCAGACCTGTTCCAGAGACCACAGCAGCCCAAGCAGTTTTTTTATGATATCTCAGCTGGGCTGACAAAACTTGCCAAAAAAGTAGACTTAATCAACTAACATATATTTTAGAAATAAAACCTTTATGTTCGGTATATTTAATTCTCATTACATGGTGGGGTAAGAGTCAGTACAAAAGGGATATATGTCGCCTCAGTTATGTTTAGGTAATTGGTTAATTATAGTGCTATTTAAAAAAAAATGGTGTAGCCTTTGGCTGTAGAGCACAGCCAGCCACTGCTATATCACATTAAGTGTGCAGACAGAGACATGATTCGTCTTGACATTTGAAATGTGGGTCTGGAAGCTGGGAGGAATTTTGTAATCTTTGAAGCGACACATTAACCAGTTTTCCTTCTGTATCGATGCCCCTGATTTTTTTTCCCGATCCCTGGATTCCCAGATGCTCATGATTACAGGGTGGCACTGAAAACCACTTTGTGAACATTTCGTCTGTGCTTTGAATAAACATACCAAAGTTAATCAATTATTTGAGGATGCTGAAGGGAAATTGCTGACCTCTGTCATGAACTTTTGTTCAAAGCCAAATTCAATCAAAGAACTTGGCCGTAGATTGAATGTCCATGAACTGGGAGAGCTTGTTTTTCATTCATCCAGAGGGACATCTGAAAACCTGCAGTTTTGAGTGCCTCTCTTTCCCGCTACATGCTTCGTGGTTCTTCTGACTGATTGAAAATTCAAAATCTGCACTTCTGATGCGCAGAGAGCAAGAGCGCGAGCAAGAAATGATAATCTGGGGGCAGGGGATGTCTCTTGGGACATGTGAAGTTTTCTCATGGCTGGAGGGAGGGACCAGTGAAGGGCCTGCTAAATTCGTACTAGGCCATTAGCTGATGAAAGATTCTCAGTCATCTTACAGAAATTCCCAGGCCCCATCGTCCCCTTTATCAGAGCCCACCAGTCCTCAGGAAATGGCCTGTCCTGCCATGGGAAGATCAGGCCAGTTAAACCTCAGCTGCAGGGAAAAATCAGGCCCGACACCTGCTGCTGGCGAACCCAACATTTTCCCCAAAAGTGGCATCCCGGCAGGCAGCAGGAAGTGGATAATGTCTAAACATGGTGCATGGAGCCGTGACTGTGAGGGTATTCACGCAAGATTTGTTATGGTACAAATCATCTTCTGACATAATTCCGGACTGTAAAAGAACTCGAATCGGTTCATAGTCTGGCTACGCTTACTGGAGCTGATTCGACTCGGTCTTTCCAAGTTTGCTCTCTCCCTCAAGAGATCCAGCCCGTGTGGAAAAGCGTGGAGGATTTATTCTCCTTTCTAGCGCAGTCACATCTGGAAGCAGTCAGGGAGTCTACAGGGGAGGGGGATTGGTTGTCAGATCATTGCAGAGAGGCTGGTGGTGTGCGCTCTCTCTCCGCAGGGCCACAGACTGACTACTCCCCTTTCTCTCCAATATGGACTGGACGCGGCCGATTATGCACTCTGTTTCCTAACGAGGCGCGACGCAAACTACGCCTGTTGTGGAACATCTCAGATGGAATCGATCATATGTGAAGATTGAAGCCCGTGAGATCTGGAATATACACACCTTTTTACCTTTTGCTGCGCTTTCTGAAACGGTCTCCGAAACCTACGCCCGCTTCTCATGCGCTTCTTCGCAGCATCCTTTTCGAGCCGTTTCCATACGAATTGCGCCGATTTGATTATCGATTATCAGCAAGCGGCGCTGGTATCATGTTTCTTAGGTAGGGCCCGGATGTTCCAAAGATGCACTGGTTCGTTTTCTTAGGTGGTTCCTGCGATTATCCTTTCCTGATCTTTAGCTCCATAATGGGGATCAGGTAATATTAACTAAGCCGCAAGAGAAGGAATATTTTACGCTTTGCGTTTTTCATTTTTTTCTTCCCCCTTTTTTCTTTCATTTCTTTCCCTTGGGTTGTTTTTTCCTACCCCCTCCTCTTTTTTTTTTACAACATTTTCTTCATTCACCTTCGGATAAAGCTGGACCACATATATGGTAAATGAAAGCAAAAACATGTACATACCGGAGGACACCCTTGAAAACCATCAAGGTAATTTCTCTATTTGTCTTCCCTCTGGTTGGAAACTATGTGTGTGTGTGCCATATGGATGTGTTGGGGGGTGTATGATGAGTGTGTTGGCATTATCATGGGCATGACGCGGGGGTGTAGGCTACCCGAATCCTTCCATTTTCAAACACACTATATGCGCACTCATATCGCCTTTGAGAGGACGATCAACAAATGTCATGAAATATAACCACTTATGCCCAACAGCTATTTTATTATTATTTTGGAAGGAAATGCGTTTATGTAGTTGGTGAACTTGTTGGATGGCTCGCCACGGCTTGATCATGTATATAGATCATGTGGTCAGAGACGCTCACACAGATGTCAATCGATTATCCTGTCAGCTGCTTCAGACTTAAAATGGGCTTTTAACCATTTTGTGCGGCCAGAGTGTATTGATCACAGTCCAGCGGCTAAAATGAACTCGGGGTGGTGTCATCGGCGCATCAGTTCACAGTGATTAGAGCATCTCAAATGGTGAAATGAAGCACCGTCAGTCATGCCCCCTCATTCGAGCGTGCATCTGTTGAATTTCCCTTCTTATCAGACAGCTGGTGTTGCGCAGCAGTCCCCACAGGTTGCGCGGTTTTAACGCTTGCGAAAAGCGCGGACCCGCACTCTCTTCCCTTCACAAGATCCCTCTCCAGCCGTCGCCTGTTGGCGCTGTGGCAACGGAGCTGCCGACCCATAGCAACAGCGCGGCTCGCGATAAGCCCGCTCCCCGCGCGCACACCTGCCGCACCTGAGTGAACAAACGCATCCGAGCAAAGCCTGTAAATTACTGTCAATAATGTAGCCCCACCCCCTCAGGCCTACTGCACATCTGTCATGCGAAAAAAGCTAGTTGATTATATGACGACTGGAATAATGATGTTTCTTTAGCGCTGTCTGTGAGGGACAGTGGCGCGTTTCCATAACCCGCTCGATTGAGTGAATAAACTGAGATAAACTCTTTGTTTGGTATTAAAATAGAAGCAGGACGAAAGTGATGGGAAATGGATCCCAAATCTAATTTTAGATGCTTTGTTTTGGCAGCTTTGATCAGCCTGCCTTTTAGTTATATTCAGATTTACAGCTTACAACATTCCTCTTGATGCTGAAACATCACAACAGTTTCTTATAATAACTTACCTGTTTCTTAAATGTGCACTTAGTAATTGTTTGCTAATTGGAGAAAAGTACCTTTAAGAAATTTTAAAATCATGTATATGATACTTACATGAGATGAATACTCCAGTCATATTAGTTATGTAGACTAAACTGTTTTATTCAGCATGTAGCCGGTAAAGGCACAACTATGTTGCGATCATATGACCACCTGTGCCATACAATGGACTGTGTTACTACTGATATTTAGTGCAATAATATGGTAGCTTTCAGATGCTATACAAAGCATAAAGTGTGCAACACACAGCCACTGTAGAGAAAAAAAGTGTAACCACCAACAATGCACAAAAAATTATTCCGATTGAATCGAAGAATGTTATATTTGTTTAGTGTGAGATAAAAAAAAAAGAAGAACAAAACTGTTGTGAAGTAAATAACTTCATGCATCCAGGCCGACAAGTGTCAGTATAAAGTGGAAATCCACTGGCATTATTCAGACAAATAAAAGCCAGTTAAACATGAACAAAAACTTTTAACATTACCCAACTAAATGATTTACCTAGCCAACCGTTAGTAGACTGCATATTTGTGTCATAACAGAGCAGGATCTCCGAGGTGGCCTGTAGCCCAGCAGATGTTCATGTTTGTGTTGTGTTGTCGTCTAGCGCTGCTGACGAGGGCAGGCTTTCAGGTAAACACAGCCTCAGTCAATCACAGGTCCAGAACACAGCGACGTATCAAAGCCAAACATGAACCTCTTCTGCTGCACAAACACTCAAACAGCAAGGAGATGGAAAGCACGTTTTGTGCACTATGATACACCGTCACTTTCTGGAATGTTAAATATGACTCATGAAGTGCTTGAATGTTTGTGTCAGAACAAGCAGTTACTGCGACTTACAAATATACACGTTCTGTATGATTTTTGTTCTGCAGTAGACACCTTTTAACCAGGGCAAAAATGCTGAATTAATGCAGTCACTGTATTTATGTCATGTCAGCTGTATGCTGTGACGTAATGATGTCACTGAGTTGTCAATATGATGTCACTCCAGTCATTTATAAGGCTTTTCATAGAAAAATGTTACAGTGTAGCCGGAGGAGACATATATCTGAAATGGCTCGAAAGGTTTTAGTTTGTGCATTCCTCTCTCCTTTTCGCTCTTTTTCTCTCTTGAAAGTTGTTGGTTCCCTTGATACTCATTGATTAAGATGCTCATTGGTAATGAGGGTGGCATTATCTGGCTTCTTTCCTTCTCCGGCTTTGTGCCAGGTTCATATGACAGGTAATTCAGATCATTAGCTAAATGAATATGTTTATGATAGATCTCAAAATGTCTGACAAGCCTCCAGGATGCCATCTCGAATGACTTTCTGTCTGACAGGCGCTATGTCTTGGACTTTTCCTTCTTCCTCGCAGTGTGTTTCTTGCTTCTGTCACTGTCGAACACATGCAGGTCACCAAAATCCTACGCAAGTGTACCCAGGTTGTTAAGTTTCCTGGAATCCATTTGCTAATGTTGTTCGTTCAAAGAGTTGTTTAATGTTTACTTAATGAATATTTAAGACTGCCAAACTTGCATCGACATAAATCCTTCACTAGCACGGTGAAGTCGGGAAAGTTGTCAGCTTGTTTATTGCCGAGGCTTTGGCTTAGAGTATCTGCCGTCACACAGAGATAGTCTCCAGTTTCTTGCTTTCCTCATGTGACTCTATGGATCCTGAAACATAAGGACATAGATGTGGATCTTTACAGATCCAGTTGAATTTGGTTCCTGTTCACTAGATATAACAACTTAGCCACTTCTCATTCACTTATACTAATTCACTCGTTCATTTCCGAAACTTAATTTGAGAAATATATCGTAGGACGGTCAATTAATGCGGTCGTGTTGCCTGCGAGACTTCTCAATCTGCAGAGCAGTTGGTGCTGGTCACTGTGGGATTGTGGGACATGTTAGGTGAAAAACACGGATGTTGAGCACAAATCATCTGCTCTTGCTTCTGCTTTACATCAGCGCTTGCGTTTCTAGCCAGTGTGCTTTCATACATGTTTACTGTATTTAAATTGATTGTGGCATGTTACTTTAATATGTTGGTAATCACATGAACACCGTAAGTAGTCATTTAGCAGATGCTTTTATCCAAAGTGACTCACAGTACACTTGTTGCTCACGGCTATCCCCCTGGAGCAATGAGGTCAAGTGCATAATGGTGATACTGCACGGTTCGCTCCTACTGTGCCCAGTATCATCCTTACTGTTGTGGAAAATCAGTACAAATATAGTTGTTTGTACTCTCGCTCTATAATGTTGATATTTGTGAAAGCAGTGCCTATGAACATAATGTAAACAAATAAAACATGAGTAGCATTTGTCTGTGAAATAGTAGATGCTGTGATTATAGATGCTGTTATTTGTTATTTTTACCCTGATACTAGGGTGTTGTAGATGGTTGCTAGGGTTTACTGGGTGGTTGCTTACTGGCCCTGCAGTGATGCTTCATGATAGTCTGGTCAGATATACACTATACTGTTAAAAAGTTTGGGGTCAAAGTTTTTTTTTTTTTTTTTCCAGAAATTCATACTTTTTATTCAGCAAGGGCACATGAAAATGAGGAAATTGATCAAAAGTGACAGTAAAAACATTTATAATGTTAAGAAAGATGTATCTTTTCAAGTAAATGCTACTATCTTAATCTTAAATTCATCTAAGAATCCTGAAAAAAAAAATGTACCACTGTTTCCATAGACGTGTTAAGCATCACAACCATTTTCAACATTGATAATATTAGGAAATCTTTTATGAGCACCAAATCAGCGTATTAGAATGATTTCTGAAGGATCACGTGACACTGAAGATTGGAGGAATGACTGCTGAAAATGTAGCTTTGCCATCACAGGAATAAATTACATTTTAAAATATTTGATAAATTATAATTATATCATGTCTTTATTATTATAAGTATAACACAGTTATTTGAAAATGTAAATATATTTTACAATATTACTGTTTTTACAGATAAATGATAAATGGTTGTATCAAATAAATGCAGCCTTGGTAAGCCTAAGACATTTCTTTTTAAAAATTCTTACTGACTCCAATGGGTGGTTTAGCTCTCTCCTTCAGTGTGAATCTATGCATTTTTTTTTGCCTGTCAAGTGAAAACCATAAATCTGAATGCTTAAAAAATAATAACAGCACTCCTCCTAAACAAGCTGCATTCTTTGCGTTATAATGATTTGAGTTACAATGTTTGTGTGCGGGAAAAGTTTCATAGCGAAGTTCATTACTTACGATTAAGTTACGATTTTTTGCATCCCTCCCTACTCCTGTATTTACACACACACATGCATGCAAACACACATTCTGCATGTTTGATGTGTGTACACTCCACCCAGCTCATAAAACTCCAATCTATGTGCGTGTCTGTTTGGTCCTCTTCTCCCAATCCCAGTGCTCAGTGTCACATCCAGAGCAAGTAGGACGCATGAATGGATAAGGAAGTAGATAAATAGAAGCATGACAGACTGCATGAATAAATGCGTCTATGTTAATAAAGCAGAAAACAGCTGCTTGTGACACATTGGCACCGCAGGCACTCTCAACATTATGGGAAAGAACCAAAACCCCCCGTTAACATGTGAGTCAGCAGCGGGTCACGACAAGGGAGTCTAATAACCATCTCTCACTCCTCTGAACTACCGTCCCCCTAGCAAAGACTGCATGAGTGTGTGCGAGCTCTGGGCAATCTGTGCGTGAAAAGGTCTGGACTGCGCTAAACGAGTTGCGACTGGTCGTACGTCAGTTCATCATCTTAATATTTCATCGGTAACAGTTTCCATATGAGAAGTAGCATTTTTGGGGGGGGGGAAA